GCCTGAGTGAGTGACTGAGTGAGTGAGTGAGTGATTGACTGACTGAGTGAGTGAGTGTGTGTGTGGGTGAGTGTGTGTGTGTGTGAAAAGAGAGAGAGAGTGTGTGTGTGTGAGTGTGTGTGTGTGTGAGTGAAGGGAAGAGTCGCAACATCAAGAACGATGGCAGGAACAAGAACACGAACAACAAGAACAACAACACCCCCATCACTCCCTGTCACCAACCACGGGGGTTCCACGTGTTGCAACACGCACGTCCGTCCGCCGTTGTTGCGCACGCAACGTCATGTTGTCGCCGCCACCACGCTGGGAGAAGCCGTGTGTTGGCGATGGCGTTGATGACGACGACGATGACGATGACGATGATGCGATTGGCCGCGGGTGTGGTGGCCCGGCTGTCGGGTGCGGCGGTGCGTGCGAGCGCGGCACTGTATCGAGCGTCACCCGTGGACGCCCCTGCTGCTGCCGCTGTGCTTGGTGCTGGAAGTGCTGCTGCGGGGGCTGTTGAAACTCGTGTTGTTGCGGTTGCTGCAGGTCTTGAAACTGGTTGTCGTACGCGCGTTTGTCAAAGACCTCCATCGCCTCCATGTTCAGCGCACACACGCCTGGATACGAACCGATGCACATGTGAGCTGAGGGCAAGCAGAAATTACATCGAACGAAAGGGGGGGGGTCGCTCGGGGCACAGGCAATGCACAACAAGGGCAAGGGCAAGAACGAGAACAAGAAAACACAAGAACCAACAAACAACAATAGAAACAACAGGCAACAAACAACAAACAACACAGAGAGCAGCCACCTCGCATGAATGCCTTCTTCATGCGTTCCTCCTGCTGTGCGCGCATCACTCGCGATTGCTCAACTTCAGCCTGCGCTGCCAAGAGCTGTGCCCGAACCTGCAGCCATCGTGCGTGTGATTGTGCGCGTTGTTGGTGACGGTTGGTGACGGTTGGTAACGGTTGCCATTCACCGACGACCATGTACACGCAAGCGAACACACACACACACACACACACACACACACACACACACCTGCTTGAGCTTGTCTTCGTATTCTGCGCTCATGTCGTGGCAAATCTCCTCTGCTCGCAGCTGCAAGTGCAACAAGACACATAAACACACGCACACGTGATGACGTGCAACCGCATTGACGAATGAGAGGGGTTGGCGAGAATGATACAACGTACTGTTCACGACACAGCCGCGACCACGAAGCACACACACACACACACACACACACACACACACACACACACAACTTTTGCCTTACCCGGCAGGATCGCTCGATGCGCTGGCGCCACTTGTTCTCAATCACGCTCCTCCAGCCACGAAATGCCCTGATCATCGCCTGCCGGCGCGCGTGCTTGCAGGCAATCTTGCTTGTAAACGCCGCGCGACGCTGGTCCACGGCCTGCACGTGCCACTGCGCAAGCGACTTTTGCGCGCGCATCTTCTCGCGCTGTGACGCAAGAGCGTTGGTCGTGTTTGCAATCACATCGTCTTTTCGTCTCAGGTGCGTCTCATATGTGGACACGAGATCCCGCAGCCCTTCCAGCTGTACGCGTGTTTGCAAGTGAGGGTGTGTGTGTGTGTGTGTGTGTGTGTGTGTGTGTGTGTGTGTGTGTGTGTGTGTGTGTGTGTGTGTGTGTGTGTGTGTGTGTGCGTGCGCAGGTGTGTGTGTGTGAACATGCGCGAAGCAAAAAAAAAATGCAGACAAATAGACATAGACACAGACACAGACACACGTACACACAGGCAAGCACGATCACGCGCAGACATGAAAACACCTCGAACTGCACATCCACTACGCCACACCTCTCGAGTGAGCTGTTGCCTCTGCCGCTGGTGCTCGGCTCTCTCCTTCTCCAGCGTGCGCTCAAACGACAGCAGCAGTTCGCTCTTCGCCCGGCCATACTCGGACTTCAAGCAAGGCACGCGTGCGCACACAGGCATAGAGGGAAGGGGAGAGCAGGAGGGCGAGGAAGTGGGGGAGACGAGGGGTGAGAATGAAGTGAGAACACAAAGTATGCTATGCAGCAAGGCAAATGATGCAACCACCCATCACACACACACACACACCCGTCACACACACACACACACACACATTCGGTCATCCCTCCTTCCACCACCATCGCTACTCACAAAGAGGTGCGTCTTCATCGAGTTGCACAATGACTTCATGGCTGCCTCCAAGTGCGTCAATCCAGCATCCCGTGCACCATCACCATCGTTGCCACCACCATCACCATCACCATGACCGCCATGACCGCCACGCCCTCTGCCATACCGGAAGCTGCCACCGTAACCGCCATCGCCCTCTTCCCCTTCCTCCTGCTCATCGTCATCATCATCACGCGTGGGTGAACTCAGAGCCTCCACCGCGTCCTTCGCCATGCGCTGAATGCGTTCACTGCTGTGTGCATCGCAGTCCATATCGCGTAAGAGTGCCGTCACGTGGTGCTGCTGTTGTTGTCGCACCCCCTCCTGCTCCCGCATAACTGCGGCCTCCACCTCGCGCTGCTGCTGCTGTGCACGCCGCTGGTGCTCGCGACGGCGATTGCGCTGCTGTCCCAAACGCGACCGACCTGCAGGCCGATTGGCAGATGTTGGTCCACGTGCGCGTTCTCTCTGGGCTGTGGTTGCCCCCGCAAAGGTGGTTAGGTTTGGTGCTCTGCGTCTGTCAGTCTGGACTGCACCAGTGTTGCTGCTGTCTTCTTGCTCCTCTTCATCTTCATCCGTTGTCACGGTTTGGTCTTGCCCTTGTTTTCTGTTTTGTCGCTTCGATGCACCGCCCCCCTTGTCCTTTCCCTCGTTCTCGCCATTATCGCCATCACCCTGACGCCGCTTGCTCGCCCTGTACTCCTCCAAGATGTCGTCAACGGTTCGGCGCGGATCAAACCCGTCCAGCGGCGCGCTGCCGCCGTGTTGGTCATATGCAGACGCCACGGCCTCTGCCGTGTTGTGCTCGTCCACGCGCTCGCCCGCCAAACCGTCACTGTCGTCATCGAGCGTGTTCGCGCCATCAGGCAGCACGCGTGCAGCGTCCGGCACGCGCATGTGTCGGCCGGATGAGGACGCGCCAGGCGCACGTGCAGCATCACTTGCGCCACTCTCGTCGTGATCCATGGCAAACCGCAGCAGCGCGTCATCCCAGTGCAGCGGCCGGGGCTGTTGCTTTGCCTGTGTGCAGCGTGTATTTGTGTGCGTGTGTGTGTGTGTGTGTGTGTGTGTGTGTGTGTGTGTGTGTGTGAGTGTGTGTGTGTGAGTGTGTGTGTGAGTGTGTGCGTGCGCGTGCGCGTGCGTGTGTGTGTGCGTGTGGAGATGTGAATGAAGTTGGCGAACGAACACGCGGAGCACTGTTGCATGACGTGTCCCGCTCACACAACCACACTGTAATCCCACTCTACATGCCCACCCACCCTGTGCAAGCGCTCCAAGTGCTGGGTTGCGGCGGTGCGCGGTGTGATGTTGGTGAACTGCAGCAAGCTCAGGTAGTCGTCCGCAGATGGCGCCTGTCACATGTCCGTGGCAACACAGCCCAAGCGTGTGAGAGCGACAACAGCACGCGTTCAGCAACACTTTCGCGCGTGCAACAACGCAACAACATCCCCTACGGTATCACCTACCGAAATACCGACCCTCTCATAGCCACACGCAATCACACACGCAACTCCACCTGAGATGGCGCTGGTGTTGAGCCACGGCTCTCTGTTCGTGGCGGTGATGTTGGAGAATCCATGCTTTTGTTGCTTGTTGCTTGTTGGCTTTGGAGGTTGTGTTTGCAAGCGAGGATGGATGGATGGTTTGAAAATTTGCCGGCCAACGGCGGTTGTGGAAAATTAACGCTCGTTTTCATACAATTTTCTAGCCAAGATGAATGTGTGTGTGTGTGTGTGTGCACCATCATCATCACACGCACACACACTCTCGCTCCCTCTCCCTCTCACACTCATCACCCAGCCAGCTCTCGACTTGCTGCGCGCAGTGTGACAACATCATGTGCTTTGTACGAGAGAGAGACGAGACAAGCCAAAAACAAGGTGGAAAGACGAAATGGACGATGGAGCAAGCTGAGGACAGCTGCACGTCAGCAGCACACAAGTGCTTCTGGACGTCAAGTGTCACCCACTGCTGAAAGACACAAACAGTTCGTAGGGAAGGGGTGTATGGGAGGCAATGTGACAGGACAACACGGCACGAACAAGGGAGTGAGTGTGGTAAGACACATCAACCACCACAAACACCAAGACAAGCACAACAACAAGAAGGACGTCACACGACAAAGAGTGCGCTGGGCTGAGCTGACTGTACAAGTATGTATGCGCGCGGGTGCTGTGTTTGTGTGTGTGTGTGTGTCTGTGTCTGTGTCAAGTGGTGCAACGCAACTACATCGCACTGCACCGTCATGTCACACGCATCACGCACGACAAACGACACAACCATGCATCACACACACAACATCCGACAGCAGCGGCACGTGTCAGCAAATGTCAGCATCAGCGACGCTTTACGCCCGCTCGGCCATCTTCTTCATGTGGTTGAGGGCAGAGCCGGCCTTGAACCAGGCAATCTGGCCCTCGTTGAAGGTGTGGTTGAGCTTGATCTCGTGGGAGGAGCCATCGGGGTTGGTGACGGTGGCCGTCAGGGGCTCGCCAGGCGCAAACTTGTCAAGGCCAACAATGGACACCTTGGCGCCCTCCGGTGCAATCAGGTCGTAGTCGGCAGGGTTGGCAAACGTCAGGGGCAGGAGACCTGTTGTGGTTTCGGGGTGACAAGGGCAGGGGGTGGGGAAGGATGGTCCGGTGAGGACGGGGTGGAGGGAAAACGCAAGTCACAAACAGCCAAGCAAGCGAACGAACGCGAAACGAACACACGAAAAAACAACCAACAAACACAACAAACACAACAAAACACAGCACACAGCACGCGACATACAGCACACATCCCAATACAGCCCGTAACACGCACCCTGCTTCTTGAGGTTGGTCTCGTGGATGCGGGCAAAGCTCTTGACGATGATGGCGCGGGCGCCGAGGTGGCGTGGCTCAAGAGCGGCGTGCTCGCGGGAGGAGCCCTCGCCGTAGTTGTCCTCGCCAATGGCAACCCATGGAATGTTGTTGGCCTTGTACGCGCGGGCAACGTCTGGCACGCCCTGGTACTCGCCCGTGAGCTGGTTCTTGACGGTGTTCGCCTCGTCGTTGGCAGAGTTGATGGCGCCAATGAGCATGTTGTTGGAGATGTTGTCGAGGTGGCCGCGGTACTTGAGCCAGGGGCCAGCCATCGAAATGTGGTCCGTCGTGCACTTGCCCTTCACCTTGATCAGAACCTGGTCATTTTTTATTTATTTTTTTGGTGGTAAGGAGTGTGGTGAGAGAGTGTGCGGTGAGTGAAAGGGGTTGGAGAGGGTGGGGTGAGTAGAGGCAAGGAGGGTGTGAGGCAAGCAAGCTCTTTGACGCAACTGGGCACACCACCATAACACACACACATACCACCATAACACACACACACACACACACACACACACACACACACACACACACACGCACGAACACACCTCCATGTTCTCGAGGTCCTTGCCATCCCACTCTGGGAATGGGCTGAGGAGCTGAAGGCGGTCGCTGTTGGGGTCGACGTCGACAGAGAGGTCGCTGCCGTCAGAGGGCGGCGCCTGGTACGTGTCCATGCCGGGGTCGAACCCTTGCGAGGGAAGCTCGTCTCCAGTGGGCGGTTGCAGCTGGTGCGTGGTTGGACAATGGTGGAAGGTGGTGGATGTGGTGGTAGAAAGTGTTCAGGGAAGAAAGGTGAGCGTTGGATGGGGAGTAGGAGGGGAGACACAGTTGGTAGCAGGTAGCAGGATGGAATGCAAAACACGAGCAAACAACAAACACGTCAACAATACAAGCAAACACAGCTATACATTCATGTGCACGCAAACACAGCTACACAATCAAAGGCACACAAATGCAGCTTCACACACACACACACACACACACACACACACACACACACACACACACACACACACACACACAAACAATCAGAGCAGACCATCAGCACCGCACCTTGAATGGGCCGTTTGGACCCTCGAGCTCGTCTGTGAGCGGGTTGAAGTCGAGGCGGCCAGACAGCACCATCGCCGTCACAATGTCCGGCGACGCAACAAACGCGTGCGTCTGCGGGTTGCCGTCGTTGCGCGAGGTGAAGTTGCGGTTGTACGAGGTGATAATCGAGTTGGGGGTGCCCTTTGGTACATCCTCGCGCGCCCACTGGCCAATGCAGGGGCCGCATGCGTTTGCGAGAACAACGCCGCCAATCTTGCTGAGCACATCGGCCTGGCCGTCGCGGGTGATGGTGGCGCGAATCTGCTCAGAGCCGGGCGTGATCGTAAACTGCGACTTGGCGGTGATGCCGTGGTCCACAGCCTGGCAGTACATGATACGGGTGGTATATGGTGGGGGGGGGGTGTGGTTGGTGTGTGGGGTGGAGAATGTGATTTAGGTGTGGCGTGTGGTTGATGGTGGTTGATGATGGATGATGATGGACGATGGTAGTTGGTGAAGGCGAGTGGGGTTGCAAGCGCGAGAAAAGGAAACAAGAACAAACGAAATGGGGCAGCGTGTTTGCTGTGAACAAACAAGACAAACCACCGAAGCAGACAGAGCGAGACAAGCCAACAAAAACAAGTTCAGACCTGCTGTGCGATGGAAGCGGCGCGGCTCATGTCCTCGTAGGAGGAGTTGGTGCAGGAGCCAATGAGGCCAACGCTCAGCTCAAGCGGCCACCCGTTCTCGCGCGCAGCCTTGCCAAACTGATGGCCGTGACACAAGCAGTGGTGAAATCGGTGGTGGTGGTGGTGGTGGTGGTATCGGTGGTGGTGGTGGGATGGGTGAGGAAGACGTGACAGTGGGATGGGTGAGAGAAGTCGTGTGAAGCAAGATGAATGCATGCGAGCACACACACACACACACACACACACACACACACACACACACACACACACACACACACACACACACACACACACACACACACAGAAACCACCATCAGCAGCAAGAGCACCGCACCTCAGAGATGGTGTGGCCGCGGTCTGGGGAGAAGGGACCGTTGACGTATGGCTCGAGCGTGTTGAGGTCAATCTCAATGAGCTGGTCGTACTCGCAGTTGTCGTCGGGGGTGAGCAGCGTGCGGTGCTTGTCGGCGAGGTCAGCAATGTTGGCCCTGTTGGTCGCGCGCAGGTACTCGGCCATGCGCTCGTTGTAGGGGAAGACGGACGTGGTGGCGCCAATCTCCGCACCCATGTTGCAGATGGTGCCCATGCCCGTGCACGACATGCTCTCGACGCCGGGGCCGTGGTACTCCACAATCGCACCCGTGCCGCCAGCAACAGTCAGCTCCTTGGCAACGCGCAGAATCACATCCTTGGGCGCAGTCCAGCCCTGTGGTTGTCGGGATCAAAGGGGAACAGAACGCGGGGAGGGGGAGGGGGGGGGGGTGTGGAGGTTGTGGTAGGTGAGACGGGGGTTGGTGGGTGAGAGATGGTTTGAACGGATTTCAGGAGATGTTGCGACAGGGAAAGAAGGCACACAAAACAAAAGCACAAACACACGCAAACCGCAAAGGACGCACAACCCAACACAAGCCAACGCAACAACACTCCCCTGTCTCCTCTCATTTGTCAACGTTCGCTTACGTTCATCTCGCCGGTGAGCTTGACACCAATGACCTTGGGGCACTTGAGCTCCCACGGGAGACCAGCCATCACGTCCACGGCATCAGCGCCGCCCACGCCAATGCACAGGCCGCCGAGGCCGCCTGATCGACACGCCAAGGTGGGGGGGGGGAAGGGGATGGGATGGTGAGAAGAAGATTGGAGGGAGGTTTAAGTGGGGCATTACGACGAACGAAAAGTTGACGCACTCTCTTACACACACACACACGCACACACACACAGACACACACACAGACACACACACACACACACGCACCGCCGTTGGGGGTGTGGGAGTCGGTGCCGATGAGAAGGACGCCAGGGAATGCGTAGTTCTCGAGGATAATCTGGTGGATGATGCCAGAGCCGGGCTTCCAGAAGCCAACGCCGTACTTGGCGCCAGCAGACGCAAGGAAGTCGTACACCTGTCGGGGTGGGGTGGGGCGAGATGAGGTTTGGGAGATGGTTGGATTGGGATGGGGCGGCAGAAGACGAATGTACAAATGAGCGCACACACACACACATGACACACGACACATGACACATGACACACGACACACACACACACACACACACACACACACACACACACACACACACACACACACACACACCACAGACACACACACACACACAACCGTACATACACTCAAAAAACAAACCAAATACACACGACACACACACACACACAACCACACCTCCTTGTTGGTGGTGATGGCGCGCTCGAGGTCGATGGCGCTGCCCTCCTTGGCCTCAATGAGATGGTCGCAGTGGATGGTGCTGGGCACGGCAACGCGTGGCAGGCCACTCGAGATGAACTGCAGCATCGCCATCTGCGCAGTCGCATCTTGCATCGCCTGCAGGACGTGAGAGAAAAACGCCAGGCAGGTGAGTGGGCGAAAACATGTCAGGGTGGCTGGCGGTCTGGCTGCGTGGCTATCAACATCATCACCACCATCAACACTTGCGCACGCACGCGCACGCACATGTCAAGCCAGACAAGAACACGTAGCATCGACTTCCTCCTTCCAAACTCTCGCACTGATGTTCACCACAACCACACACCACACCACCGTACATATTTCACCGAATTGCACACATCCAAAACTCACCACACGGTCGGGGCGAAGGCGCAGGTAGCTCTCGCCACGGACAATGTCCTGTGTGCAATAGAGCAGGTGTGAACATCAGCATCATCATCAGCAATACAAAGGAAGGAATGGGCATGAGCGCATGGTCACATGCGGGCTGTGGACGGTGCACGCGCATCAGCCACGACTGGCACAGCAACCAACATAAAACAACGCGAGTGCAACAGGCAAATAAACACCCAGCTGTCAGTTTCGCGCCCGCACCTGGTTCTCGGGGTCGTCGAGGTGGGAGTAGAGGATCTTCTCGGAGCAGGTGAGGGGGCGGTTGAGGCGGTTGCGCACAGCCTCAAGGCGCTTCTCCATGGTGTCGTAGTCCACCTCCTTGTTGTCAAACTTGCTCATGGGCACACCGCTGCCGAGCGCGGAGGCCGACGTGTGCACATGGCGTGCCGAGCGCGCCGTGCGCGCGCACACGGGAACCACCTGACCCAAACAAATAACAGCAGGTGGCAGCAACAACGCAACAACATGAGCGACATGGGTGGCTGTTCCTTAGTTGGTTTGGTTGGTGGATTGTCGTTGGTGTTGCAGTGACAAAACAAAACAACGGCCGCGGCTGGAGCGGTGTCACTTGCCGCACAAGCGTCTTTTCCGCTCCCCTTCATGCCAACACCAGCCTTCCCATATCCGTCTCCGTCCCATCCATCCCCTCATGCCACAACATCGTCCCGCACGCCAACACACACACCGCAGCACCATCACACTCACTGTCTTCAGCCACATGCTGGGTTGGTGGTTTGATATGGAGAGAGGGGGAATGTCTTTTGCGCACAACAGGCGAAATTGGCGTGTGCAAACACCTGAAACGCTTATTCGTGGTCATCTTACATAACAAACGTCATCAGCAGAAATTTTTTGCTGATCACTGGCGCGACAGCGACACACAGAGGTGTTTTGAGGAGGTGGGGCGAGCTTGCACGACAACAGCGCCAAGCAATCATGTCACACCCTCACATCCTGCTTGCGATCTTCTTGGATGTGTTGGTGTTGGTTGATTGCGAGCGAGTTCGAGGGTGACATCTTTGGTGACGCAGCCAGTGGTTTGATCTTCCCACAACAGCTGCGTTCAACGGGCACAACACAGACAGGGCAGCAGTGACAGCTAACCAAACCACACACTGCACACGCATGCACACGCACAAATGCATGTGCCACTGAGCGACATCAAGGCGTGGTGTCGTTTGCGTCCTGGCAGCGACAGCAACCGCAGCAGCAGCAGCAACCGCAGCAGCAAACGCAGCAGCTCCTGCTCATGTGGTTGCTTCCAGAATGCGTTGTCAACCACGCTCATGTTGGCGCTGCTGTTGGTGCTGGGAAGCGCTGGGTTTGGCTATGCCGTGAACGTGGACCAGTGTTCTGGCACAGAGACCATCTCCCTGACAGCCTTGAACACGGACCAGCTCGGCTTCACTGGATCGCAAACGTGCGATGTCGTGTACCCTGCCGTGACATCCATCAACTACCACAGCATCGTGGCCACGGGCTCCGGCAGCCTCACCGTGCACATGCCGGTCGTCACGACCATCTCCAACCTCTTTCTGCGAGCACAAGAATCGGCCCACCTCACCGTCATCATCGGCTCTCCAACCAACCCCGTGTGAGTGTGTGTGTGTGTGTGCGTGCGCGCGCATGTGTGTGTGTGTGTGTGTGTGTGTCTGTGTGTGTGTCTGTGTGTCTGTGTCTGTGTGTGTGTCTGTGTGTGTGTCTGTGTGTGTGTCTGTGTGTTTAATTCACGATCCATTGAGGCGCACATGATCGCTGGCACGCCTGCAAGCGCTTGCGACTGAGCGTGCCTGATATCCATGTGACAATGCTTTCTTGCTCCCGTGACTGTGTTGGGTGCAGACTGTACACCGTCAACGGGTTCCAAATCACCAGCAGCACTACAGTCAGTGGCGTCGGTGTGTGTGTGTGTGTGTGTGTGTGTGTGTGTGTGTGTGTGTGTGTGTCTCGTGCGATGAAGCTACCGGCTGTAACATTCAGTCCCCTTGCCATACCTCTGACACCTCTCGCCTACTTGTCTTTGCAACTTTTCACTGCTGTCCAGGGAAGCCTTGATGTGTATGTGTATGGCATCTGCGCTGGCTCGTGGATCAATTTGAGCGTTGCGCTGGTGCAGCCGCAAGCGGTCGCCAATCTCCGCATCTTCGGGTTCTCCGGCGTGGTGCGTGTGCACGTGTGTGTGTGTGTGTGTGTGTGTGTGTGTGTGTGTGTGTGTGTGTGTGTGTGTGTGTGCATGTGTGTGTGTGTGTGTGTGTGTGTTTTGGGCTATCGCCACTGTTCATGTGCAAATTTCACTGACGTACTGACGTCCCCTGCTCTTCCTCCCCCTTCCATTCACGGTGCACGCCACTGCTGGCAACAGAGTCGCAGCAGTGCAATCATGCCTGGCCTCGTCACGTGGAACGGGGCTGTGTATCCACCAGGAACGTCGCAGTGCAGTGGACCACCCTTCCCGGACCCGGTGGCGACGACCACGACGACAACAACAAGTACGACCACAACCACGACAAGTACGACCACAACGACTACCACTACCACTACCACTACCACAACAACAACAACAACAACAACAACAACAACCACAACAACCACAACAACAACAACAACAACAACCACAACAACAACAACAACAACCACCACAACAACAACAACAACAACCACAACAACAACAACAACAACAACAACAACAACAACAACAACAACCACAACAACAACAACAACCACAACAGCACAACAACAACAACAACAACAACAACAACAACAACAACAACAACAACCACCACCACCTCTGGGGTGTTTGTGCGTGGACACGACCTCCACTTTGCAGCGCACAGCATCGAAATCAATGGCGTGCCTGCAAGCACGGGCTTCAAGGGCGTCTGGCGAAATGGCAGCGCGGTGGGGATTGGCCGAAAGCGGTCCGCCAGCGGCCACAGCACGCTCGT